GTAACGTAACGTAATGTAACGTAACGTTGAGAAATCAGATCTTCAACCGACGGCAGCCATGGGCTGGGCTAATTTGCTTCTTTGACTGATTTACATGCTTTGTGTATAATATGCAGTGCATGTGTACATGTACATGTGCACACAGGAACATGCAGCACTACTGGGCAGAAACACCCAAGTTGGTGATTTAAGCATGGTGTTGCAAAGTATCCCAGCTTTAAAGAGAGGAAACTATGCCAGTTGGAATCTGTGAGTGAGATGTTTGTTTTCCTTTATCACATAGGTTTGACATAGGTTCGCCATCTTGCGCCGCAATATGGCGGCGCAAGATGGCGAATTTCACTTTGAACACACGTAAAACGTTGTAATCGCATGGCGCCATTTGAGCAAGTGATACGCTTGCACAATGCACATTAATGCACAGACGCTGGCGCCGCGGCTGGCATGTGAACCTGGTGAGCCTGCGCCTAAGCATTATGATAAACTGCGCAGGCGTATCACTTGCTCAAATGGCGCCCATGGTAATTACACCTTTTGGGCAGAGTTATCCATCTTGCGCCTTCGGCGCTATACGATCTTTGGTCACCACTTTGAGTAAGAGGGAAATTCAAAGCTGTCTTACCTATTTATAGATGATTGGCTCAAAAAGGGATTGGAGTATTGTATAGTATACGTTTACTTATGTAACATTTTCAGGGAAAGCTACCATATTATTGTTTTGTTATTATTTGTATTGTAGGTGTACATGTATTTAAATCATTTTTATTTGAATTTAAATAAAAGGGTTCCCTTTTGAGTGATAAGTGGACTCAGCCCCTAAACAGTGCAGCCTGTATCGCAACAAAATGGGATACCTTGCTATAGTAGTTGGACCAAGAGAATTTCCCTAGTTGTGTCCTGTGTGGACACTGTCCTGTGCGGACACCTGCTTCCTGTGTGGACACTGTCCTTTGTGAACTTCATCCGACGTGGCCCTTGTCTTGCGTGGATAACCCTCCTGCCTGTGTGGGTAAAACAAGTATCGCTAGAACCGATGTGCGGCCGTAAATGCACCACCCTCCAAGCTCAGGGACATCAGGCGGTTTCGACCCACGGCGCATACAGCTAAGTGCAGAGAAACCGAACATTAGAGGTCCTGCCCTATTTGGGAACCGCCCCCCTCTCAAGGATTAGGACTGTTATCTATGTTGGTGACAGGAAGACATCCTAATAATGAGGTCTCATATATTTAGAATAATTGTAAATAGAAAAAGACCGTTTTTATCTCGTAGGCCGAGTTTATCTCGTCACCATTCTCCTCCTCCTATGTTGCATGTGTGCTGCGTCGGCGCGGTAGGACACGCACTACATGCCAGGACCGCAACAAATCCTGCTTTCAGGCTATCCTGACTGCTACCACTCACCCATTCATGGATGGTCTAATCATTGTCTGTTTGTAATAACCACGTGACCACAGAAAGTATCGTCATCAGAAAGAGTGAAAACAGCCCCGAAATTCTGCGACATGTCACGCCACGCAAAACACGATCTGCGAAAAGACAAGATTTGCTACACGAAGGTGAACGTACCATATAAGTGGCTGATTTTTATTTATCACAAGAAAGAAACCTTTAGGTAGCAAGAATTTTAAAAATCTCAGTAAAGTGATTGTGTTCAAAAAGACACCACAAGAATGAATACAAAGCGGGAAATAATCACTACAATGTTGCCACAGTAGAGAAAGTAAAGTTTTATATGATTAGGTAGGCCTACACACTTTCGTGTTTCGTGCCTTAATGACTTGGGGACTTAAACAGTCAGGATGCGGACAACTCAAATTTGTATTTATTCTCGAAGTTATCTGATGTAAACGTCATCCCACGAAAATATGGCTGCGCCACCAGCACGTGGTGCGCGTGGCCCGGGTGCGTCTTTGGTGACTGATTTTATCCTTCAAAGGTCGCCATAAAGGTAATTGACACAAAATTTAATGTTTCAGCAAATCCCCCGTGTAAGAAATGAGTCTCAATTCAAGTCCCAAGTTCTTAAAGGCAAGTTCCAAATAAGCCTAGACTCGTTACATTCAGATTCAAAACGCATTTGCATATGGTAAACTTTTTACGGTTTAACACATATATCTTTTTAGAATAAAATCCTAAAGGTCTCCTGGAAAAGCCTTTCAACTCTGGTTTAAAGCGTTAAACAGATGAGATCACAAGTCAAGATCAAGCCCAAGCAAGGCCTTACGTCACAATTGCTAATGTGTCTAACCTTTGGATTATGCGTACACGCTTATTAGACTCCGGTGAATTTAAAAGTTTGATTTTTAACTCTGAAGAGTAAAAGGGTGGTTATAAATAAGAAATACAAAATTGGGGGAAAATTAACACAAACTACCCACCCTAAAAACAGAGTGAAAGTTCTGTTAGACGGTGCTGGGTCATGCTGTATCAGGCTTATTTGATTTTGGGGTGTTCAGTTCCATTTTCATTCTTGAAGTGTTTTTCTAATCTATAGCATGAAATACCACTTGGCAATCTGATCCCAAATCATGCTGTAGGAAATAAATTTTAAAAAAAAGAGAGAACAGACATCACAGCACATATACGCACTTTTCCAAAGTTCATATACACTTTATAGTTGACAAAAACTTCGATTAAAAGTCGACTAAAAGAAATTGTTTCTCTTTCTACGTCTGATCAATCAAAACATTTATTTTACTTTTACTGTTTATTTGCATGTCAGTGAAAATAAAGCGGATGAACTGCCAATCGGCAACAGATAAAGAGTAGGCCTAGTTGCAAGGACTAAAAAGTGAATATTAAATATCATGTTTTACAAATTCAACCAGATTCTTCAAATTCACTCGTTACACAGAGAACGTGATGGATTTCGCTACGTAGGGTTCAAAATGTCCTCTCTTGCTCACTAACACCTAAATCAGCCTGAATGGACACATAATCTCCTATATACCAATTCTCGATTCACCAGAGCAACTCAGCAATGCAAATTTAACAGTATACACATACATATCACAAGTATATCCGCCAGGCGTTGGATCTGATTTGCTTGTTTTTGTTTTAGGGTTTAGTATTTTCTTTGCAAGTAGGTGTATCAGCTCCCACAACATAGGCTACAACTGATCAAACAAATTAAATCCATTATTATTTTGTTAGCATGTTCACGTTATGGAGGATGTTTAAAGATTAAAACAAATTATCTGTGGTGCTACCTTATATCTGTTGACTCAAATGTGTTTTAACTGAATTCTGAGATAAAGAGGTAAGAGTGATTGTAACATTCAACACACGAAATGTGACTCAACAGTTCTTAACGATTAGTATCGAATAAAAGTTAAAAGGCTTACTGTATCCAGTTCAGTTAAGGCACTTTCACTTTCTTGACTGAATACATCACAAGATATATGTGAACATTGTTCTAACTTGTTTAATAATATTCAGGGTTAAACCAAAATGAACACCAATTACCGGTATGCTTAAGAAAATGTTTTTAAAATGTGTTAAAAATAACAAATAATGAATAAAAGGACTCTTGAACCCCAAATAAGAACAATGCCAAACTAACCAGGTTTGTGTTTCGGGTACCGCTGTTCTGTAACAGATCTTAAAATCCTGTAATTAAACACCACCGGTAAAAGTGCATGTAAGCGTACGAATCAATGAATAAACCATGGTTCCAATCAACTTCACTATACACTTCGCATTTTTTAAAGTCAGAATGGCATTGAAGGTTTTTTTAGTTCTTGCTTGCTTTCTTAACATCAGATGTAAATAAGCATGGAAAGCTTCACATTAGCACATAAAATGTTGCACTGACATCATGAGACTTAAAAAATAACGGAACGCAGCTCATCTTAAGATAATTACGTGACCTAGGGCCTATACCTGATACTTCTATAGGCCTACATCTCAGTGATGCACAAAAAAATCAGTTGCCACCTGCTACTGAATGACCCACATCTGAAAATGCTGTGACTCTGGGTAAATGCTCATTCTAACTTGCTGTTGGTCAAACAAACTATTCGACACAGAGTAGCTCTTCAAGAATACTCATTCCTCAGGTTACCTAATCAACTGGCAACAATTTCTTGTCGCAGGCGATGATAGGACACTCATCTTAAGATAAAATGTAGCAACACTAATGTCAAAACAAAGCGCATTTACATAATGTCCACTTCATTCGAATTCTAAACGTCTATCTTAATTTTAATATTTTTGCCAATTGATTTAATTATTGTTAATATTCATATCCTTGTGCAAAATAGTAAATCGGTATGAACTCATTGGAACAAAACTCTATTCCAATACAGACTTCCTTTAAAAAGCGAACGTGTGGGAAACAAATAACTCAATAACGTGTCCCTCGCAAACATATGGGCGAATAAGTTTCAACCCCTTTGCTTCATACCCCTGACAAAGTGCAAGGCTGAAACGCTGACACGTGCAAAAAATGTGTCAAAACGTCCAAATACGTCATTAAACTATGGAAAAACAGAAATAAAACGATAAGAGAGAGAAAAAAAAGAATCATCAAAACAAAACAACAATGAAATATATACCAATAACAGCAGTTACGACTGCAAAAATAATAACATGAAAAATAAGAAAGTTTGCAAAGGCAACACAGCGACACAGGTAACAGTACCCATGATATAGTTGAAACTGTATATGGCAAAAAAATATAACTGCAACAGTAAAAATTAACAATAATAACCAACAAGGTTAGCAGAAACAGTGATCATGCATCAGTGGAAGTAAAAAAGCAAAGTACCATTACATGAAAATAAAAACAGGAATAATAATAATAATGGTAACAATAACACAATAACAGCAATGACTACAAGAACACTTGACATATGAATAGGGCCTCATTTGTGTCACCTGATTCCAGTTATTGCTTAGTTTGGGGCCATTTTCCCAAATTGTTGGACATTTTTTGCGGGTTCCACATACCACTAGGACCAGACGTCGTGGTTGCTATGTTTAGTTTTGCAAAGAACTAAGTATTACAAAAAATGTCGTAGATCATTACGACCGTTAAGTATAAGATCGCAGATTGCAGATATTTACGATTGGAAACCAAATCAGGTTTGCTTTTCGATCTCTAAGTGTCTAAATGCCTTTGATGTGTCAGTATTCTCTGTACCTGGCAATGATTTGTTTTGCCTTATTTTTGGGGTAGTGGCTTTTGTTGCACGGGGGAATAATAAGCTACGCCCTTGAAATGAACCAAAAATAAAATAAATAAAAAATACATCAACAACAAACGTACCATTCTGCGTGCAAAAGAAATATTGATGCAAAAATATACGACGCAGATTAATAATAATGGTGTATAAGATGAAGAAATAACTAATAACGAAAAGTTATAATAATTACCCTTTATAAATTAGGGAGACATTCCCAGGGGAACGTGCCAAGAATTTTTCAAACCTTACTTACCACTAATGCAATAATCCCTTATCCTTTTCTAACCAAACTTTGCCTACATGTATTTGTTTTGAATAACGTCCTTTGTTTATCCTGATCTCGTTGCACATCATAAAAACCAGGATTACGCAGCACTCTTTAAAACAATTCCTAGTTCCCAAGCATAAAACCCAAAATGAAAGCAGAAAACAAAAATAATAGCCAAAGCAAAACAAAACCGAAAATAAAAATAACAACTAAAACTCACATCCCACAAAACAACCCCTCCCCTAAACCCCAGTGAACACCTGCTGTGTTTCTCAATTTGCCTCAAAGCGCAACTCTTCGAATAGGCTCACCTACAGGTGTATCACGTTCCCGACGAATAGGTTTTTCTCAGGTTAGCGGTTCACACATTATTTTTTTTATTGCAAAACAAAAAATAAAATAAAAAGTATCCAATAAAAGGAGCAGCATCGGTTACAACAGGGATACCAATTAGAGAGAGATAACAAACAGATTCTAGTAACAACATGCAATAATAAAATGAATAACAAGAAGAACAATAATTTAAAAAATAATATAAACAAAGATAACAAGTATCGTTAAAAAAGCTTAAAGTGTGCCAAATGATAAGATGAAACCGTCAAACTAAGTCAGATTGTTCCAGGACAGCACAAGTCTAATCATCATCTCACAAGCAATGATTACGCCTGCCACATGAAGTCTCATACAGGGCACCTGCGCAGAGTCTAAACACACAGAAAAAACTAAGATGTCAATATATACATTCCCCCAAACATAAGAACTGGTAATAAAAAATCATCTCAATGGTGTTCATTGAAGTTCGGCATAATAAAAGATAAAGAAAACATTTTTGAATTTTCAGCAAATAATGCGTGACGGAGTACGCCATTACAACTTTGCACAGTTTAATTTTACTGTCCGTATGTAGTTCACAGAGGTCATATTTAGGCAACACTTCGGATATCTAGCCAGCATTTGTGAATGTCAATAATCCAAAAACTAGAGTTTAATATTACTTACTTGGAGTAGTGTTCTGAGTGTGGAAAGACACATCGACATGGGATCTCCGTAACAAACTATCATGGGGAAAGACGTGACACCAGTACCTAACATCATCTTCATCAGAACAGTTGGAAAGGAGGGAACCGTTTGAAGCTATATCAAAGCACCGTTTGCCTCCCAGATCAGACATACTTTTTGAACCATCTGGTAGATTCCGTGTGCCAATAACAGTGGATGACCGCTTGTCTGAGGTGCCATAAGACCAAACCAATGTTGCCTTGGTTGTCTCAGATAGGTTTGATTTGGCAGGGCAGGGCAGTTCGAATCTCTGACCAGGTTCAAAAGTCACCTGATCAGCGGCTATCGATTTCATGTCATCAAGTGGAAAAGAATCACCTTTTACAAAACACAATTGAAATGGGTGAAAAGTTTGGCCTAAAGTGTTAAACTATCTACGACAGCATCAAGTGTCAAAGAATAAGACTATTAAAGCTAGCGCTGGTTATTCTAGGAAGGAATAGGTAAAGATATTAACGTTGTTGTTCCTCCAGAGCCGTGTCATGTTATTCCTGTCTAAAGTTATTGAATAACATGCCAATGTCATTCCTTTCCTATTCCAAAGAAAACAAAAAACTACATGCACTGGTCATTGATGGTTCATTTCCCTTTGGCGGGTACAGTCCATAAGCTTCCTGAACAGCGATTTCTTTAAATTCTGGGTGTGAGGTATACAGTCTTTAGCTTGGGAATTTTACCCTCCATGCTAGCACGTAAAGTTTTGCCTTTTGTCAACCAAGTAATGTTAAGACCGAGGAAGGGAATAATTATGCAAGCCTTTTCACCTAAACGACATTGTTCTGCGGAAAAAGCTTTAAACAATAAAAGGAGAACTCTTTTTCTCTATGGAAATTTACGTTTATGTGAGACCAAATGATATGAAACTTACCTATAACGAATGCGGAAATAATTGTGTATGGTTTTCCGGCACCTCTTGAACAGGTGTATCTTCCAGTATGGTTGTCTTGTACACTTTTGATAGTGAGACCGAAGTCAACGGCAAGGTGAAAGGTAGGCTCAGCGGTGATGTGGTTGTTGAAAACCTGGTAATGGAGAATCTGTCGACCGCTGTCCTTGTCCTCTTGCATCCATCGGATACTGCAAGATTTATCGCCAGGCGTCTTGTCTACACATGGAAGAGTCTGCTCCCTACCCTTTTGTAGATAGAAAGCTGTCTCTGTTGCCTTCATTACCGGGCTTGCCTCGAATGTTTCTGTTTTACCAAACCAGCCAGTAATCGTAACAACGTTACATGCACAAGTAATATCGTTTTCAACCATGCAAAGGACCTACTTAGGACAAATGTTTGCTGTGGCGGCGCTACAGAAAAATAACAATGTCCAATTTTTAATTCATTTCGAGAATTCAAACATTAGCAATGACTAATTTTTAAGTATGTAAGTGTATTTCTTTTCTAAGAAAGGTTTGCAAACTCGTTAAATTACCTGCGAATGACAGGTCAGTGTGACAATTCCGCTGCGTGCCATTGGATAGAAACACATGGCACCATAGCCTCGTAACGTCAGCAAACGCACGTGGACAATTTACGATAAGGGATGCATCGGGATCAATGTTGCAATCAGTGCCATACTTAGTCTGAATGAAAGTGCCATCGGAAAAACGCGCCCCAATGATCTCTGTGTCTGCAATGACACCATTCCCCGCTGACCAATAAACTACGGAAATGCCCTCTGTGACCTGTTCAGCACACTGACACGGTAGCAGTTGCCTACTTCTTTGGTCCAAACGTGCAGAAGTTGATGTGTCACTGATAACAGCTGGAAACGAATCAGCTGGAAACAACAGAGAAGATGAGATGAGAAAATGAAAAGCAGATCCGTAATGCAGCAGGTGAAGATCGGCCGAGAATTGGCAAAATCAGAGCAAATTGATCTATCAAAACTGGTCTCAATTTCTGCAACATCCAGCCTGGACACCTCCCAAAGACCTGCTTCAGTGAGAATAACGGTTACCATAACTTTTATTTGTGTCCTACATTATTGTCTGAATCCAGAGAAGAATTACATTGACTTGAAAAATGCCTGAATTGTGTTTACGAATCATTAAAACATGTTAGTTTTATAAATATTTCATGCATGCATGGAACTTGTATGCATGTTCATTAATATTATAGGTGGCTGTATCCCTTAGGTTCGGGGCTTCCTTCCTGCCCCCGTGCTAGCTACTGTGCCGCGTGAGTTTTGAGTATTTAGGAACGAATGTTTCTCCACAGAAGAAAGCTATACCAAGAGCCCTGTATCATTGCGACCATCACTCAAGGCCTAGCCTCAGGGCGAAACTTCACACCAAATTCGAAGGATCGAGTAACCAGCTTTTCTACATAATTAATTTGCTCAACAAAACAGACCAGTGTTGTTATGCTGTACAGGGATAAATTTGGAAAATATCGTAGTGACGTTGCTTATTTGGAGAGTGATATGATCCTGTAGGGAGGGTCCAACAGAAAACAGAATTGGACTTATTATTGAATTTATCACGAAGCATCTTGTGAAAAATGAGACTAACATTCCCGATATGTCACCGCCATTTCGTAAAGAGTGTATGTACTAGAATTGCAAACCCCAAATTGTAATCTACCTAATGGTCTCTAGTTTTTCATTTGGTTGTTCTTCATTTTGAAATAATTTTTGAATTAGGGGCATCATTGAAAGATTACGTTGGGTTGACAGTTGTATGGAGGCCTGTCCGGAAAATTGAAGAACAAATAATGTTCCAGAGAACAATAAGGAAGTGCAGTACAGTATAACTTTGCTTTTTGTAAACACTGAAGTCAAATTATGTGGCATACATTAATTAAGTGGTGACACCATACTACTGTTAAAGTGTTTGCAGTCTTACCAATAACGTTGATATGAACGCCTTTTGCTCGAAAGAGTGAATTTTCTGGGATGACCTGACACAGGTATGTCCCTTCGTCGGTCTTCTCGACGCCTTTTATTAAGAGACTAGATTCATCAGATGAAAATGCGTATCTTTCGGTAGTTGGAAAGTAATCAGCTCCCTTTCGACTGATGAGCCTCTGTGTTCCAAGGTCATCTATTCTTGATCCTTTGTACCAAATGATCCCATCCAATTCTTCACCAGGACGGTAGGCCAAACAAGGGATTTTGTGCCAAATTCCTTGTTGTACTTTGGCGTCTTCACTCAAGAGGCCGAAGGCATGTTGCTCCCTGATTTCTAAGAGAGAGTACAGATTTATTTTGACAAAGCACGTACAATTCACGGGAAAGTTTACAAAGGATTTTCAACCAAACAGTCTGAATGGAGTGTCCCTTCAATAGTGACTGTTGGTCTGAAGTTCTTTTTCTGAAATTTTGCCAAATACCTGCATTCTAAAAGCTTGTTTTGTGGTTTTTTTGGATGTAGGATATGGCAAGATGTGACATGCAGGGATAGGGAAGCTAAGTGGTCATGGATTTGTAGGCTTTCAAAATGATGTCATTGCCCCTGGCAACAGGTGACGCTGTTTATGGTGTCAATCTACGGCAAATCTACTACATTTAACTTAATTTAAGAAATATAATTTCTCACCTTTGTTATGAGGACAAATATGGTATTTTGATGCACTCAGTGTGGCTCCAATGATGATTAGCCAGAAAACGCTCTGCTTCTTGACATCCATGGAATGTATCCTGCACAGAAAAAATACAAATTAGTTCTTGTTAATCACCTTTTAAATGTTAATAATTCACCATGGTCACATATTCTTGTTACACTTCTGAATATCTGTAAGGCCGAGTACCAGCGTTAGGAATGATTTATACCCATTGGGCTTGTAAATTTAAGTTTCCTTGCTCATGTATTTCACTTCCAATAAGAGCTGAGTGTATACTGTGACTAACTCGTAGAGATACACGAAGCATTGAATTAAAGTTGGACAAAAAAGTTAAACAAAAGCAAGAGTTGGCGTCACTGAACTCATGCACAGTATCAGCTTACGGCGTAAATGACCCATCACGTCAAAATCACTGATAAGTCTCAAATTGACTTTTTGAGCTATGTACATGGTCAGAAAGATGATTTTCTGGAGCTTCCAGGATCGAACAAACTGACAGGATTTTTTTTTGTTCTCAGTGCGTCTTTTGGTATTCAACTTAATTTGATTAACTTCAACATTTTCATCTTTGTGGCGAACTCCAGGCTTCTGGGTGGACGTCCGATGACGCAGAGGTCATCACTTGGTCTTTGTACATTTAGCTTTGTCTTCAGATATCTGATGACCCCGAAAGGATATTTCCCCAAATCCATCTGAATTTAAATTCATTACAACTGCTTATGCTACATGCATGTCATGTAGGCCAACTGTGGGGGGGGGGGTGCAGGGTGGCGTCTGCACCTTTTGTCTATGAGGCAAGAAAAAAAATTTGAGCTCCCCACTTCTGGAGTTTACTTGTAACTCCCCGAAAACAAATGGCACCTCATGAATCCTACTGCTTTTCAAAAATGGTCTGTTTTGTTGAGGATTCGTAAACCGCCCCCACGAAAAGTCTTATTTACCGGCCTGTCCTGGGGTCCCCACAGTTTAAATTTTCTCATACACAGGTATGGAAACTGAAATAGATAGGAACAGTATTTGCTTGGCAAAAATCAAGTCATGTTGATGAACTATACAGATGCTGTACTGATGTTAGTTGATTATGAACCATTACAACCACCTTCCCTAGTTATGTTAATCTGGCATAACGAATTTTCAAAAGTAAACTCAGAACTTGACATTTTTGTTCAATCATTTCGAATCAGTATTCATAATTCAACAATATACAGGTAAAAAAGGCCCTATAAAATGTAGAAAGCCTTATTGATATTGACATATTGCAAGTTTTTTCTAGACTTGACGCAGCATAGATAGCTATACTCAGCTGGAACCTAATACACACAAACTTCGTTTCTGAAAATGCCCAAACAAACCAACAACTGACAGAATACTTTGTACTTGGCAAAATATGGGTTTACATGCTGCGTATGATTTCAAGTAGTTTATTATACAATTTACTCTGTCCTGGGTGGTTATATTTATTGTTCAATCAGCTGCTATTGTTGGCAAAATTACATTGTTTCCACACTCAAGTTACCCCTCTCGGTGTTCTACCGTCATTTGCAAAAGTTTAAGACCATCTGGTATTTTGTTGGTATTTCTGTCACCGGACCTGCACAACATTGTCTCATTGATTTACTCATTCATTACACCAGACAAGTGCTATGAGCCCATTTGAATGCATTTTTCTCCAAAGGAAGGTCTTCTATGTCATTTTGCAGGGGTGCAAAACCCAGTTCAAGTCATCAAAAACGATAGCGGGCACACTAACCATTAGACTGTTAACACTTCAAATCATTGAAATATAGTCAAAATGTAGTAATGGAAATGTACGCTGTTAACCAAGATATTAAGGTTACAAATTAAAAGTAAACATAGGTTGTTATGATGAACTGGTTTATATTTGAAATGCACTTCGTAAATTTGGTCTTAAGCTTTTGCAAATGACTGTATATAGTTTCAACCCTTACAAAGTTAAGGTTTCCGCAAAGTTGGGACTCTGTGGCGGATTCTAGCACTAATTATTCAAAAATTTGACCGATCACAGTTAAGACATTTAACCAATCATAGTCCAGAGTGTTAGTCAATCATAGTCAGGTGTTCTTACCAATCATGCGAAGGGTTCAAGAAACTAATTATATACAGTAATGGGAGGAAATGAAATGTCCCAGCAAACTATGAATACGCTTTGTGCAGCCTGTCAAGTAACATCAACTCGTATTGTGACGGAGCTCTAAAATTAGGTTGTGTACGGTCTCGTTAGACGGCACTTACACTTTGTACGTGGTTGTGCACATATTTGCACTTCGTATCATCAAAATCAAAATCAAATATTGATTTGTGTCACATAAAGTATCAGTGGCATATCTATCCCTCGGGTAGGACGGATTTTTTTTGTAAAATGACTTTTCATCCCCAAAAGAATCCTCAATTTCCCCGAAAAGGTTTTTAAACTGCTGGCCCTTTCAGTTCCAAAACCTGGGGTCTACTGTTGCTTCTGTTGCTATTATTACCTGTTACCTCTTCTCCGGAAGAACCTTTGAAGAACAAAGAACTCACACACGGACTTAAGGACAACACGCATGTTGGAATATAGGGTTACGAGGACCCAAAACGCATTGTTGCCGGAGGTTTTTTTGTCACCACAACTTCAGAAACATTTTAGGAAAAGCGCAAGCACATACGTGTTGGGTTAAAATGACCACTCTGGTAAACGAATGACCCCCAGGGCCGATTTCATGAAACGGCAAGACGTGTCTTAAGAGGGGTAACCTGTCCTACCTTACATTTCGTCTTATGATCAATTTCACCAAATTTTAGGACACTTTCAACAAATCCTAGCTTCTTCAAGAACTATTCCTAACTCAGAATGGATCTGAGGTTGTCTTATCTCATTAATGCATGCGGTAATTATTGTCTAAGTGAAAGACGAGTATTGTCCTAGAGCTATTTTTTGTAACAATTTTGTGGGATGAAACTAGCTGCAGGAACAGGCTTGGAAAGTGTTATCATTTACAAAAAAGTTACTTTTAATTGAAATGAAATGCTAAAAAATCTCATGGTATAGGAAAACCTATTTGTTATTTCAAAATGGAATTATCAAAATGATTGGAAGCATACATGAGTCAACTGCTCTGCAACACGTTCGTATTTTGGCGTTCCCTATATTTTCAACGACTGTTTTCGTCAAAGGGTTCAAAGAAACATGAAGCAGCCTCCAAAGTTCTACTTATTACCCGTCTTTCTTAAGATGGGTTTGGCTAAACCAGTCTTGGAACCCTTCTTAGCAAAGACCAATCATCGAGTTGGGACTCATCTTAAGCCTTAATATAAGTTTCAAGATAAGATGAGTTTCGTGAAATCGACCCATCTACTTAAACCCTGCACAGTGCATGGGTTAAGGGTGCAGTTACAAATTACTGTTACAATGAGGCGAAGACTGTTGACAAAGAAAGCACAAATAAAATAAAATGGACCCAACAGACAAACTAATAACTGTTGTCTATTAATATTGTACACGTCCCGTGTAGAAACTTGGCTCAGAGAACCAACTGGCTGCTTTAACCCTAGAATGAAGACTGAACAAATAAAGAAATATTTTGTTACTGTTAAAACGAAAATAACCAATCTTGACCATTAGGTCAACGTTGTCCCCTAAAGTCCATTCAGAGAACGTCCTTTCCAAAAGTTAAGCAAATATCATTGTAACAATATTAAATTTTCAAAGTAAAGGTTACAAGTAGAAAATAGCAGAGCTGTCAGTTTAGAACCAAATACCTAATTGAGCACTTAAAATAGTTATAGTATTAACTTCATCTACTCAGAAACAAAAAACATATCAGAATTGTATTGAAGTAGATAATGATGTTTTGTTGACGAGCAGTATCATTAGTGACTCAGGGCACAGCAGACTTTTTGGATGAATGAATTCACTTTTGAAAAAATAGGGAAATGATACAATATTATGATTGAAAAGGTATACCATGCCAATACAGTTCTCTGCCCTCGACTGTTCTTTTTAATGTTTTTTTTTCTAAAACAAAGCAAAGAAACCCTACCTTGTTGAGCAAAAAGTCACAGGAACTTCTTCCAGATGCAGCTTCTGGAAACTATGTTAAGGTTTAGTTTACGGGACCTCTTTAGGCTTATCTTTTATCATATTACTTTTATTTTTGACAAACAAACATATGAGTATACTTCAATGATAAAAGACAGCTTTTTCATAGTCCATGTTTGCATGTAGGAGAGAAAAACAGTTGGGTTTAATTTACGGGACCTCTTAACAACTGTAGGCTTATCTTTGACCATATTACTTTATCTTTGACAAACAAACAAACAAACATATGAATATACTTCAATGATAAAAAAGACAGCTTTTTCATAGTCCATGTTTGCATGTAGGAGAGAAAAACAGTTGTGTAAAAAGTCCCTCAGAGTTCATGTCAAGAGGTTATCATGAGGTTTGTTGACACGTATTTGGCGGTATTTGATTTGCTTGTGATGGAGGCCTAAACGTTAGACTGCACTCATTCTAGTCGCTCAGCACGGTGTGACAGACAAAGTTGATAGCATCAAGGCAAAGTAACTCGCTGCTAAAATTTAGATTTAAACAGTTCCATCATTTGTTTGTCTTAATTATGCAGNCCGTATATTTTCAACGACTGTTTTCGTCAAAGGGCTCAAAGAAACATGAAGCAGCCTCCAAATTTCTACTTATTACCCGTCTTTCTAAAGATGGGTTTGGCTAAACCAGTCTTGGAACCCTTCTTAGCAAAGATCAATCATCGAGTTGGGACTCATCTTAAGCCTTAATATATGTTTCAAGATAAGATGAGTTTTGTGAAATCGACCCATCTACTTAAACCCTGCACACGGCATGGGTTAAGGGTGCAGTTATAAATTACTGTTACAATGAGGCGAAGAATGTTGACAAAGAAAGCACAAATAAAATAAAATGGACCCAACAGACAAACTAATAACTGTTGTCTATCAATATTGTAGACGTCCCGTGTAGAAACTTTGCTCAGAGAACCAACTGGCTACTTTAACCTTAGAATGAAGACTGAACAAATTAAGAAATAAAGGAGAAAAAGCAGAGCTGTCAGTTTAGAAACAAATACGTAATCGAGCACGTAAAATAGTTATAGTATTAACATCATCTACTCAGAAACAACAAAAACATATCAGAATTGTATTGAAGTAGATAATGATGTTTTGTTGACGAGCAGTATAATTAGTGACTCAGGGCACAGCAGACTTTTTGGATGAATGAATTCACTTTTGAAAAAATAGGGAAATGATACAATATTATGATTGAAAAGGTATACAGTGCCAATACAGTTCTCTGCCCTCGACAGTTCTTTTTAATTTTTTTCTAAAACAAAGCAAAGAAACCCTACCTTGTTGAGCAAAAAGTCACAGGAACTTCCTCCAGATGCAGCTTCTGGAAACTATGTTAAGGTTTAATTTACGGGACCTCTTGACAACTCTAGGCTTAACTTGATCACATTACTTTTATCTTTGACAAACAAACATATGATTATACTTTTATGAGAAAAGACAGCTTTTTTCATAGTCCATGTTTGCATGTCGGAGAGAAACACAGTTATGTTTAATTTACGGGACCTCTTAACAACCGTAGGCTTAACTTTGATCATATTACTTTTATCTTTGACAAACAAACATATGAATATACTTCTATGAAATAAAACCAACTTTTTCATAGTCCATATTTGCATGTAGGAGAGGCAAACAGTTGGGTAAAAAGTCCCTCTGAGTTCATGTCAAGAGGTTATCTTGAGGTTTGCTGACACTTATTTGGCGGTATTCGATTTGCTTGTGATGGAGGCCTACACGTGAGACTGCACTTATTCTAGTCGCTAATCACGGTGTGACAGACAAAGTTGATAGCATCAAGGCAAAGTAACTCGCTGCCGAAATTTAGATTTAAACATTTCCATCATTTGTTTGTCTTAATTATGCAC